TTTTTTGTATTTTTAGTAGAGACGGGGTTTCACCATGTTGGCCAGGCTGGTCTTGAACCCCTGACCTTGTGATTCGCCTGCCTCAGCCTCCCAAAGTGCTGGGATTACACGTGTGAGCCACCACGCCTGGCCAAGGCTTTTTATTTTTAATGAAGAACCTAGTGGTAGTGATATTTTTGCACGTCTTCTCTATAGTCAAAATACTGAGCTAGACATTGTATTCTGGAGTATAAACAACAGAAAGCAAATTATATACTTTCAGACACTGAATGAAACATTATGACAAATAAGAAATTACTAACAGATTAGCATTATAGGGAGGAAAGTAAACATTTAAGTAAATTACTTACATTGCTTGTCCATGATTTAAACAGATTCTGTAAAAGAAGATCTGACATTAATATACAGTCTATAAGTTTACAAGTCAAATATAACAGTTGAAACAGGATACTCTAAAACTACCCAGTCACACTCATGGGATATTCCTCTCTATTCATCCAGCCCAGCCTTACCTGGCCATTTAAGCCCTTTGTGCTTAACTGCATTCCCCTTGCTGTGTTTCTGAGTAGGAATTTAGAAATTGTTGGTCAGCTCATGATAGTGAATACATTCTAAAGCCTTTTGAGGTGAGGGTCCAGTGAAGCAAAAAGCTGTAAAGATACACTATGAGCTAAGACTCCAAATAGTAACCAAGCTAAAAACATCAGCCTTCACAACTTGCACAGTCTAAAGGAAGTGGGTGGTCAGTTCCCAGCCTCTGGACTTGGGCCCCAGGAATGTTCCAGCAGGAGAGCGAAAAATGTTAAATATCAGTTCACACTACTGCAGTTATCTTGGGAAGTGTAGGTCTTGTGGAAGTGTTTTTTGTAAATTTCAGAAGGCCTGACACTACTCTATGCATTCAGAGACTTCTTTTTCTCAGAGAACCGACTCTCAGGAGTTGTCACAGCCATGGCACCTTGACCACCAAAGTGAAACTTCGTACTCGGTATTTATACAGAAACATAATAAACAGCAAACATTCTACTCAATACTTTTGCCTTCCAGTGCTTTTACTCAATCCCAGTCTTTCCCATTACTATCCATTCACTACTTTTTCCATCTCCTGTAAATCCCGATGCCCTTCATCTCTTAATGACAAGGCATCAGGCAAAACTCTGTTACCCAACTGTTTTATCTTGGACCCACACACACTTACACAAACTTTCCCCTTCCCAGGCCCACTCCAGTGCTGGCTATTCTTTAACCAGCTTCTCCTACTGTGCAACTGATTAATAAGTGGTTAATAAGTCAACTGATCCCTCTACATGCTCAACTAAAATCTAGAGTTCCAGAGAAGAATCTGCCTCCCTCCTTGCTGTTTCAGGGGGGAGGCGTATTCTTCTCTGGAACTCTAGCATTTAGTTGAAACAGCAAGGAGGGAGGCAGAAACAGCGAGGAGGGAGCCAGGGGTGGTGGCTCATTCCTATAATGCCAGTATTTTGGGAAGCCGAGGCAGGAGGATCACTTGAGTTCAGAAGTTTGAGACCAGCCTGGGCAATGTGGAGAGACCTTGCCTCTACTANAAAAAAAAAAAAAAAAGCCAAGTATGGTGGCATGTGCCTGTAGTACCAACTACTTGGAAGGCTGAGGTGGGAGGAATGCTTGACCCTGGGAAATTGAGGCAATGGTGAGGTATGATGACGTCATTGCATTTCAGCCTGGGTGACAGAGCAAGACTGTGTTTCAAAATAAATGTGTTTTATTTTTTGTTTTTTGTTTTTATCATTGCCAGCTTTAAGAACAAAATTGGTTGAAAAATTCAAAATAGGTTTATATGGTTCTGAAATAAATCAAAAGGGGTGTTTGTGTTACTGATTTAACTTCCCACATTTTCTTAGGACAATGGGAATCCCAGTTTGCATTAACTGGTCATAAATGAATTATGTGGACCTCATCAAGCCACAAAGGTAGAAATTAATAAGTTTATACTTTTCCGCAATTAATCTATAAGGTGAACAAGAAGCTAATAAACACATGGAACCAAAATAGACTAAAAGTTTTCAAGACTACATTTGTGTTTTAGATTCCATATGAAGAACTGTTTAAAGGAGACTAAATTCATACATATAAGAGGACATGATTTTTGTCAGCCTCAAATTTCTACCATCAAAGACTATACTTTAAAATGCCAATTTTCTAAAAATATGCTAAGAGTACTTTAACAGATATGTCAAAAAATACTAATACATTCCAGATTAGAAATAAGTAGTATTCTTTAATTATCACACTGGACTACACATCTCTAAAGTCTTTACCTGCCCCTTGCTTCTTATAGGATCCCACTCTATAACATGCTTAGCTTAAAAAAAAAAAAAATTCTATGGCCTTTAACCAATTTTAACAGAACTTTTAAGAAACCAGTGTTTCAGTTATTCTCACCTTGCCTACAATGTCAGGAAAGCACCAAATAATGTCTAAGGACAAATCCTAAATAAAATGTAAGGGCAAAAACATAGCCAAGTTTTTATCTCTCTCTCTCTCTCTCTCTCTCTCTCTCTCTTTCATTTTTTCAGACTACTGAATTAGGAAAAAATCATAGTTTCTGGATTTCAAATCTATTCATCGGAGGCAGAAAATATTTTTGTCATAATTTTACAAATTTTTTTTCTTAGCATTTAGTTGTTTTAGGCTTTCAAGTCCCATGCAAGCCAGAAATAAAGGATGTTCTGCAAAGGTAGAGAATTCATTAACCAATGCTATGTATCCTGGTAAGCAGTGGTCCCCAATCTTTTTGGCACCAGGGACTGGTTTCGTGGAAGTCAATTTTTCCATTGACCAGTGGAGCAAGAGATGGTTTTGGGATGATTCAAGCTCATTACATTTATTTTGCACTTTATTTCTATTATTATTACATTGTAATATTTAACAAAATAATTATACAATTCATTATAAGGTAGAATCAGTGGGAGGCCTGAGCTTGTTTTCCTGGAACTAGATGATCCCATCTGGGGGTGATGGGAGACAGCGACTGATCATCAGGCATTAGATTCTCATAAGGAGTGCACAACGTAGATCCCTCACACATGCAGTTCACAATAGGGTTTTTGCTTTTATGAGAATCTAATGCCGCTGCTGATCTGACAGGAGGTGGAGCTCAGGCAGTAATGTGAGCGATAGGGAGCAGCTGTCAATACAGATGAAACTTCACTCATTCACCTGCTGCTCCTCTCCCGCTGTGCAAGCCCAATTCCTAACAGGCCACACACTGGTACTGGTTGGTGATCCAGGGGTTGGGGACCCAGCTATTAAGAATAGGTGGAGGATCTTAAACAAGGAGTATCATGAGTTTCAAGTCCTTGCCAAATGAGTACCAACCACAGAAATCCAGGACAGGGAAAAAAAGCTGATTCTAAAACAATGACAATTTGTTCATATTTGCTCTTTTTTTCCCACTTGATTACATTATTTTTCATCCTAAAAGATAAGCTAGTGAGGATGAGAACCTACTGGCAAAACTACTGCAGAATAAAACCTGAGCCTTTGCTTTACTATAGGTTTTCGAATTTTGACATTTCCCTAATATCTCAAGCATTGCAAATGGCATGTAATAAGCTCAGATGCAAAATGTTAAGTGTTCCTTGTATCTGTCCATGTGCCCAGTAGATAAAGCACTGTGTGCTAGGTCACTAAAGTCATCCACTATGTGGATGCCTACATTCCTCTTTGTTGTTATCATGATCCCTTGGGGTTTCTCAAGCTTAATGAGTCTATTCAAAGATGTATGTCACTCAGTTTGGGAATAACTGGTTGTGCCCTGAATGAATTAATGAGTTAATTAATTTAGCATGATAACTCATAAATAATGGCTTCTACCACACTTATTTTGTTTTTAATTTCATAAATACTTCAGAGAAAGAGAAAATCATCTTTATGGTGTACCAAAAAAATGTACTAAAGTTATGATGTATACTGTACCATTGGAATAACAATTACTCCAGGATGAACGAAGAACTTCAAATATAATCTGATTTGTCTAACTCTGTTAAATAAGACTTTGGAGGAAACGGAGGCATCATATATTATTTGCATATAAGTACACTGCTGTTAAAATTTTTCTACCAGAAATCATAAGTCCCCATTGTTTCTCTGGACTTCTTGATAACTGTAAACCTCTACTACCAGGAAGAGGAAGAAACAGCACAGGAGATTTCCAGTTCTGCCTTCACAATTCACATTACAGTGAAACTCTTCTGACCCATCTCTTGAGGTCACGACATTTTTATCTAATTAAATAATTTCCATGTCATTTGGGCAATGTTTGTAGGTAAATTTGATACATTTCAAAATGTTTCGTTGACATCTAAGAAGGGAAAATATTCATCTGTTGAACTCTGGTTTTGGTAAAACTTAAGTATAGAAAAAATTTATACATTTACACAAATGTGTCGGGCAAGCAGGTGGTGAGGCTTGGAGTACCCAGCACATCATACCTGTAAGATATGGGAATGCAGTGACATGACTGAGGCTGATAATAAATGCAAAGTACCTTGTAACAAGGAGTCTTCCCATAAAGATCCTCTTGTGAATTTTATGCTTAAACAAAATAAATATGCTTAAAACCAATTTGGGATAGCCTTTTATAGCATTTTATATTAAACCTTGAATAAAAATGTAGATAATATGTCAACTAAAACCAAGTGAGATGATAGTGATCAAGTGTTCTACAAAGCTAAAAAGTAAACCAAAGAGACAAAGGAAACAAATACTAAATCAGTCATTCTCATTTGATTGCTTTATTCTCTGAAAAGCCTTTCCTGACAACCCAGAGCTCCCTCACAAATTCGAGTTGTTTCTTTCCTTTCCTTCTAATAAATGATGAAACTAAACCCATGGAACTAAAACTGATTTTAATGTGATACAGCTCACTAACTAGCTAAATTAAGATTATTAATTATTCATATTCTTTGCACCAATGCCTCTGATTCACTGAAAAAAGGAAAACTGACAACCTTCAGTGAAATTTGTTAAAAGACTTTCTTAAGGTATCTTTCTTATGTAAGATAGAAAAGGCTTGAAGTTCAATTTACTTTTGTGCCACTTAGCTTTAACTAGGCCAGGTGCTATGGTTAGAATGGGTGACCAAAGTTCATGTGTTGGAAACTTAATTTCCAATGCAACAGTGCTGGGAGGTGTGGCCTAATAAAATATGATTAGGTTATAAACATTCTACCTTCATGAATAGATTAATGTTATCTTGGGAGCGGGTTAGTTATTGCGAGTAGGCCTGTAATGAACTCAAGCTCCATGCTCTCCTGCTGTCTTGCCCTTCCACTTTCCACCATGGGATGATGCAGCAAGAGGACCTTCACAAGATGCTGGCACCTCGGTACAGTCATGCACCACAACAACAGATCACATATATGATGGGGGTCCCATAAGATTATATACCATATTTTTACTATACTATTTCTATGTTTCGATATGTTTAGATATATAAATACTTAACATTGTATTATACTTGCCTACAGTATTTAGTACAGTAACATGCTACACAGGTTTCTAGCCAGGAGCAATACTTTATTGCACAGAGTCAAGGTCCAATAGGCTATCTGCAATCTCACTGGTCATTCCTTTTCTTGAATGAGCCAAGTTCCCTCCAGCCCAGGACTTCTACCTGTGAAGTTCCCTCTGTCTATAATGCCCTACACCACCCCACTCACCCACACACCCATAGACTAGTTTTATTTGAGACTTCCTTCAGCTCTCAATCTGACTCTTCTCAATACCCCCCACCCCACCACCCTAGCCTAAATAATAGGCTATACTATCCAGGATTGTGTAAGTAAACTCTATGATGTTCTCACCACCACAAAATTGCCTCATGATGCATTTCTCAGAACATATTCTTGTCTTTAAGCAACACACGATTATGTTGGACTTCCTAGCCTCCAGAACTGTAGGAAACACATTTCTGTCCTTTATGAATTACCAAATCTCAGGTATTCTGTTACAGCAGCAGACAATATATGGAGACATCATATTTTTTCTAATCACTTATTAAAAAGAAACATATGGAAAATTGAAGAGTGCAACTATTAGTTCTGATTAAAAGTTGTTTTGGCTTTTTAATTTAGCACTATTCAGGGTAGTGCTATTGAATGTGTATATATAGATATATATACATATAAAAGTACTCCCTATATAAATATTCACTAAATATAAAGCTTGTATGGTTTTTAAGGAATTAATTGAAGGCAGGGAGCATGCAAGGCACCATACCAGGCACTAGAGCACAATATCTTGACACTAGGGGAGACAGACAATTACGAATTAAATATATTATTAAAAATACTGTATGTGCTATAGATAACAATAATGTTGCTGTAAGAAAGGGTTATGGCTTTTAAGTTACCACTAACTTCGACGGTGGTAGGGGTTTAATAAAAGTCAGACTGGGAGCTGAAGGAAATCTCAAATTAACTAGTCTACGGAGGTATATGGGTGGGGTGTTGGAGGGCATCATAGATAGAGAGAACTTCATAGGTAGAATTCCTGAGCTGGAAGAACTTGCCTCATTCAAGAAAGGAAGACCAGTGAGGTTACAGAGCAGAAGAGGGAAAGATTCTTAGAGATGAGGATGGAGAGGTACACAAGGGTCTGCTCACACACAATTCATGTCTCTCCACCTGTACTCTAAGCTCCTTTACAGATCTAAAGGCAGTTTGATCTGTAAACCAGCTCTTTTACCTGCCACTTTTCTATCCAACTGCGGAAATCCACTCATTTCCCTTTATTTTTATTTTTCATTTCCCTGCATTTTCTCATTGTTCAAAGCTCTACTATTGTTGTAAACAGGGTGACATTAACAGAAAGGTTTGTTTTTAGGAAAAGCTCAAGAAAGGAGCCCCCAAACTGCCTAACACTTTTAAGTGTTACTTGTAGTAACCATGTATCTCAATGTGATAAACCAGAAGAAACAATGACTGCCTCTGTTCCTGGCACTGGGAACTGCCTGTACCTGGAACTGGGAAATGGCCATGCCAAGATTTCCAGGAATAACAGTGCATGAATGAAACCGCATGGGAACCAGAGAGGCAGCTTGGAGAAGCAGGGACTTTGTCAAATATTTAAAATAATAAAAGCTAACTGTCACTGAGTACTTTCTGTAGTGCCAGGCACTGCTCTAAGAACTTTACATTAACACATGTAATACTCTGTAGCTTTTTAAAATAGTTACACAGTTTCAGAGATGAGACAATGGGAAGAACTAACACATGTAATACTCTGTAGCTTTTTAAATAGTTACACAATTTCAGAAAGGAGACAATGGAAAGAACATAAATGAAGAAAGTGGCTGACAGTCCACAGATGCGAAGTAGTAGAGGCCGAATTTAAAGTCGGGCAGCCTGACTAGAGCCAATGGTCTTAGCAACTGTGCCATATACTGCCGCCATCTTTTCCAAGCTGGCCTAGCATAGCTGTGGGCTCCAGGCAGACTCCAGTGAATACTTACTGATAAATGACAGCCTGCAGGCTGTATTAACCGTCCCTTCTAATAGCCCCACTATGCTGGCACAGGCTCCCGAGCCCAGCCTCAGCCCAGGATTCAGGGCTGCTCTCTGCCTGTAAAGCAGTGTAGCTAAGGGGAAGCTCAGTCCCCCGAGGTGTTTTCAGGCAGGACAACCCTGGTCATTGGAATGGTTCTGGGTGCCGCTGGGCGACCTCGGGCCTCTGGCCGAGTACCTACTCCACTTCCAGGGTCCCTTTCAGAGGCTTCTTGCATTTCTGGCCCCAACCTTCACCCCACATCCTCCACCTCCAGAGCAGCAAACACTACCGACGGGCCGTCGCCCCGGTTCTCCGTAAGTTGCCCTCCACACCTGACCCTGGCCCTGGGACCAGAACAGGCTCCGCGCAGTTCCCGCGCCCGCGTCCCCGGGAGGCGGCAGAAAAAGCCGCCCGCGCACCTGTGGCTGCCGCTGTTTCCGCTCCCGAGCGAGCCAAGGTCCAGAGAGCAGGGTCCAGGCGGTGGCTTCCTCTCCGCGCCTTCAGACTGCCAGGCACAGCTGCTGCGCAACCTGCTCCAAAGGCAGCAGGAAGGGAGTCTGGGAGTAACCTTCGCGCCCACCGCGGCAGCTCCGGTTTCGTTTCCTGGATCTTACGCACACAGCGCGGCTTCATTTCCCTGGTCCCTGCGCTGGCGCCTGGGTCCCGCAGGGCTGCTGGAGGAGGAGGAGCTGGAGGAGGGACTGCACCCACCACGGAGTGTGTGGCCCGCCTCCTCTACCCCCGACTCGCTTTCTTTTTTTTTTTTTTTTTTTNTTTTTTGAGACGGAGTTTCACTCTTGTTACCCAGGCTGGAGTGCAATGGCGCGATCTCGGCTCACCGCAACCTCCGCCCCTTGGGTTCAGGCAGCTCTCCTGCCTCAACCTCCTGAGTAGCTGGGATTACAGGCACGCGCCACCATGCCCAGCTAATGTTTTTGTATTTTTAGTAAAGACGGGGTTTCACCATGTTGACCAGGATAGTCTCGATCTCTTGACCTCGTGATCCACCCACCTCGGCCTCCCAAAGTGCTGGGATTACAGGCTTGAGCCACCCCGCCCGACTCGCTTTCTTGCTCCTCTGAGAGGCTCCAGAAACGTTTGTCCTGTGGCTAAGGGAAGAGGTGAACTGGAACCTCGACACCAGCTGGAACTGAAAATCATCAGCTGGGGAGTGGTTTCCGCCAGGAACTTTCTTCACTCTGGCTTCGACCTCTATCTTTCGGAAGCCCATGGCTTTTCAAGGCAAGGGAGCAGAGGCAGTTTAGATGACTAATGAGGAGGGGGGTCAAGATTGTTTTTCTTTATGGTGCCTTTTCTTTCTTGCTGTCTTTCTCTTTCTTTCCTTCTACTAAATTTTGTTATATTTTTTAAAGTCTGTTTTTAAGCAGTTACTTGAATGTTTCAAAAGCTCCCTTTATTTTTTAAAATAAATATTGTGCCTAGATCCTTTTTAAACTAGTTTTTATTGTGTGTATTTAAATTATATGTATGACATATCCATCAACTCCTGTAATTACACATTGCTGCCCGTGGGGCGAGAGCAGCTATAATCTACTCATTTATCATAAATCCTGAATACCACTATCGTTAACTATAGTCCTCATGTTGTACATTAGATCTTTCCATTTGTTCATCCTACATGTTTGTAACTTTGTACTTTTTTACCTAAATTTCTCCATTTCTCCTGACTCCACTCCAACCTGGATGACCCTGGATAAACCAATGGTTCCCAACCTTTTTGACACCAGGGACCAGTTTCGTGGAAAAGAATTTTTCTGTGGACCACGGTTGGTTGGTGGAAGGTTTCAGGATGATTCAAGCGCATTACGTGTATTGTGTACTTTATTTCTATTATTATTACATTGTAATAAAATATAATGAAATAATTATACAACTCACCGTAATGTAGACTCAATGGGAGCCCTGGTCTTGTTTTCCTGCAACTAGAGGGTTCCACCTGGGAATGAGAAGAGACAGTGACACTGTAAGTGTGTTGCTTATGTCCAGTCTACTCTGTAATCGTGTTTTGGTTGTTGTTGCTGCAGAAAATCCTGCTTCACGAACGTAGGATGTTGAAAATGGAAGCAAGCTCTTCAGTGCTTTTGTGGCAATCTCATGATTTGAAGCTGTCTCAAAATCCTTTTTTTTTTTTCTTTTTTGAGACGGAGACTTGCTCTGTCGCCCAGGCTGGAGTGCAGTGGCACGATCTCGACTCACTGCAACCTCCGCCTCCCAGGTTCAAGCAATTCTGCTGTCTCAGCCTCCCAAGCAGATGGGACTACAGGCCTCCATCACCACTCCCAGCTAATTTTTTGTAGTTTTGGTAGAGACGGGGTTTCACCGTGGTGGCCAGGCTGGTCTAGATCTCTTGACCTGGTGATCAGCCCACCTCAGCCTCCCATAGTGCTGGGATTACAGGTGTGAGATACCGCGCCGGGCCTCAAACATACTTTTAAGGTCACCATCATTTGTGATCTCAAGCAACTGATCCTCTTCTAGTGGGGACAAAGTCGATTCACCTGGCTTATTCACAAATGGGTCATGGAGACATTCATTCCCAGTTCAGGGTTCTTTTGTGGTTGGGACGTAATGCTTAAACTCTTTTGAAAGCTGAAATAGGTGATCATGCACCAGCTGAGAGAAAGAAGTCCCTGGCTCAGTCTCTTTCAAAATCTCTGCTAATGTTTGAAACGTCAAAAATCCCAACGTTTCACTCCTTGCCTCCATAATTCCAGTTTGGCTTTCGATGCAGCCACTTTATCTGCTGACTTGAACATAGTTGTCCTTCTCCCCTGAAGTGACAGGTTGAGTGCATAGAGCAGGCTGAATATGCCACACAAGTAAGCAAGTTTTGCAACCCATTCTGTGTCACTGAAATGTGTCGCCAGTGGTGACCATTTTTCTAAAAGAAATCTCTGGAGCAGCTCTCATAATTCAAAAATTCTGGCCAGTGACCTGCCTTTAGAATGCCACCTCACTTCTGTGTATGAGAAGACATTTGTGCTCTGTGCCCATCTCCTGACAGAGCTGCACAAACAGATGTAAGATCATGTACTTTCATGTGGTTGATAATTTTTGTCACATCCTGCAAAATGTTAACTGCAGGTGAGATTTTTCAGCTAGCCAGCATTTTTCTGTGGATGACATAGTGCGTATACTCACATTCTTGTCTCTTTGCCCAGAGTAGTGAAACCAGAAAGCCATCCAGTCATGGCAGCCATTCCTTCCATGCATATACCTGCACATATTGACCAATTCACTTTTCCTGATCTGTAGTCATTTAAAGAGTTAAATAGTTCTGCAGCTGTGGTTTTGATTGGCAACAAAAGCTCACACAACACATCCTTGTGCACATACTTCCTGAAAAATAAATCATACACACAAAAAGCATTGTTGCTTTGTTGTCAACATTGGTAACCTCATCAACCTGGTTTACATACCTTGGTGACTCATTAATCCTCTCTAACAATTGTGCCTCTATATTATCTGCTATTTCATCAATTCTTCTAGTTATGGTGCTAGCCGAAACAGGAGTATGTGCCGTCTTTTGAACTGCAGCCTCTCCTAAAAGTTCACAACAAATGTCCTTAGCAGCAGGCAGGATCAATTCTTCACCAATAGTAAAGGGCTTCTTGCCTTTAGCAATGCGATTAGCTACTAAGAATGATATGCTCAGTGAAGATATATTTGGTGACGTGGTGGCCTTCAATAATTGCTTCTATGTGTTCTTTGTGTTCATGTTTTCATTTTTTTTTTTCATGAAAAACTCCAAAGGCTTGTCTTTTAATGCAGAGCACTTGGTCTCCGTGCGGCACAGCAGTTTTGAAGATTTCATAACATCATTGGATAGCCGGTAACCACATATTATACAAAGCAGGCTTGGAGAATGTGAACCACCTGTTGTAATAAACCTGTAATTTAGGTAGGACTCTGGGTATTTTCCTTTAAATGCAGCTTTCTTTTGTTCTGCAGTCTTAGTCTTCTGCTGTCTCATCTTTGGGTCTTTCTCCATTTTCAAAGAAGCTGTCCAGTGATGTTTGTTTTTCACTCATTTTGGCTAGGGTTAGCTTGTGAGCTTAGCAAAACTGTGACTAAGACAAGTGCACAGCGTGGGAAAGAGGTGCAGAAGAAAGCCGTAAAATAATGGCTGGGGCATGCACAGACTAAAATAAGTGTTGGATTCTGACTTAAAGCCTGCCACCAGGTGCAGTTATACAATTGAAGTACATCAATTTTCCACTGTAAAGCCTGGCACCAGATGCATCTTAATTGTCACTTATCACTTGCCGCTTGTCCCTCACTGGTAGGGTTTTGATATGAGCCTATAAGCAATGTATTTATTATGATCTCTGTGCAGTCAAAACGCTCTGCTAATGTTAATCTGTATTTGCAGCTGCTGCGTAGCACTGGCTTCACTGCCTCAGCTCCATCTCAGATCATCAGGCATTAGATTCTCATAAGTAGCATGCGCATAGATCCAGCCCATTTGCAGGTCTGTGGCCTGGGGTTTGGGGACCCCTGCTATAAACCACTATTATATATATTTGACCTTTTATTTTCTTAATTTCAGCTATAAGTGAGATTATGCAAAATTTTTATTTCTGTATCCTTGGCTTATTTCATTTAGCATAATGTCCTCCAGGTCCATCAATGTGATGGCACCTGGCAGGATTTCCTTCCTTTATAAGGCTAAGATTCCATTTTTGTGTGTCTCTGTGTATGTATACACACACAATGGAGTATATGTATCTTTCTTTATACATTTGTCCGTTGATTGACACCTAGACTGTTTCTATATCTTGCCTATTCTAAATAATGTTGCAATGAACATGGGAGCGCAACTATCTTCAGGAGGTGGTGATTCCATTTTCTTTTGGTATATACACAGAAGAGGGATTTCTGGGTTATGTGGTGGTTCTATTTTTAATTTCTGTAGGAACCTCCATACTGTTTTTCATAATGGCTGCACCAGTCTATATTCCCACCAGCAGTGCACAGGGATTCTCGTTTCTCTATACCCTTGCTGATACTTGTTATCTCTTGTCTTGTTGATTATACCAATCCCAACAGGTGTGACATAGTATTTCATAGTAATTTTGATTTGCATTTTTCTGACGAATAGTGATGTTGAGCACTTTTTCATATGCCTGTTGGCTATCTTTATGCCATTATTGAAGAAGTGACTATGCTTATGTCATTTTTGAAGAAGTGTTTAGTCCATTTCCCATTTTTTAAATTGAGTTAGATAGAATACATAAGGAGGTTAATTCAGAAATAACGTCTCTGTGCTGACCTTGCGAAGGAAGAAACTAGCCTTACCAAAGAATTTTAACTTTTTTATTATATTACCAACACAAAATCTCTTTTTTTTTTTTTTTTTTTTTTTTTGAGACATTCTTACTCTGTCACCCAGACTGGAGTGCAGTGGCACAATCTCAACTCACTGCAACTTCTGCCTCCTGGGTTCAAGCAGTTCTCCTGTCTCAGCCTCTCAAGATGATTTCTCAGCTAAGTGTTGAAAGAAGAGTAGAAGATATCCACAAGCAAAAGGCAGCAACACAAACAAAGAAAGACCATGGTGTATTTTAAGAATGCAAGCAGTTAAATATGACTGCAGTGCAAGATGGAGCAAGGTATGGAGTTTACAGACTCCTGA